CTGTTATAATACTGCAAAAATTTTTAGATAAAATTTGTACTGCTCTGATTCCTTTTTTATTTTCTGTTTCACCTTCATTCTTTCACATTAAGTGTCTAACATGTGCACAGACTATTTAGTGGTGAAGAAAAACTTGCCAGGTTCTTACATTTTCAGGGATTTCAGTTTAATGGGGATAAAAATTAAGCAATGATTACATAAATAAATGCTATTTAAATTCTAACCAAGGGAATTTTAATGTTCTATTTCCCAAGCTTAAAAATACATTGTTTCCCCCAAATTATAGGCTGCTTAAATCTTGAAGTATGGAAAATTATAGGCTGCTTGAAATTCAAAGTACATTTTCCCATAGAAGCAATGATATAAAGAGTTCTCATGCAATCTCATGAAATCCTATTTAATCTAAATGTTGCTAAATATATGGTTGTAGCTTTGTTTTTCTGGGAAACTTCTTTCAACATAGTGAGACTCTGGACCTTGGAAGATAATAAATACAGTATTATAAAATTGACAGATCTCACTGAAAAGAAAAAGGGAGGTGTGAAGGGAGGTTATCAGAGTGCTTGAACTATGTGGTTAGTTCTGTTTCACCTAAGGTGTGCACATTAATAAAGATTAATATTTTTTTAGTCTGTGTCATATATTTATATTTTGATAAAGAAGACAGAAGCTATAAATAGTCCAAACTTGATGTCATTGTGTCCAGTGAGACATGTTTTATTAGGATGTAGAAAAAGCATGAAAGAGACTATTTAGGGAAAGAAGGTTCAGAGAAAATGAGAAAAGGAGGTGATATGATATTTCAGGTTTTTAGAAGGTAAATAGTAATTTTCTTGATGAGGTGATTGAACCACAACAAAGCATTCCAATAAGGGCTGAAGAAAGAAATAGCACAATCAGTGTCAGGAATGACAAAGTAGTGTGATAATCAGAGGAGCACAATGAGAGTCCTACAAGACTGGGACAGGAAACTAAGAAAGTGATGAATACTGTTAGTATCTTGTAGGATTTGGTGATGGTATTTGTAGGAAGGTAGATAGAAGAATTGACAGAAAACTTTATGCTTGTAGGTCTGTTAGATTTGAGAAAAACTATGTTGAGGAAGTTTCCTGATAGAAATTTCATTTTTAATCACCATAGTTATTTTTTCCCATTGTTTACTCTTCCTTTACAGGACCTTCAGTTTTAATTATTTCTTAATCCTTTTTAAATCACCAGTTAATCTGTTCTCTTTAATAATTTTTTAACAAATATAATACTACATACACTTTTATAACAAGTCGAATTCTAAAAATTAGTCAAGTATAAAATGATTTGGAAAGATTTAAGAAAGTGGGTTCCCAGTTAAATTGATGACTAAAATTCATATTTAGGGCTGGGGATTTGGCTCAGTGTTTCTGCCAACTCCCTCGCCAAGCGTTAGGGCCTGAGTTCAATCCCTGGTACCAAAATAAACAAACAAACTAAAAAACCCACGAAATAAAATGCATATTTATTTGTAGACAATTTGGTTCACATTCCTTTGTCTTGAGAAAGGATATTTTAATATTCTGTATATATTCTAAGTAATACTTTATACTTAATGTTTAAGTGTTTTATTAAAAAGTTGAACTATATGTTTTATAATGATTATTAGAATAAATTATTTTAAGGAAAGAAATCTAAACTTCCCAGTAATAATTTATATAACTGCATTTTTCTTAGTCCATGGTGGATGTGGATCTGGGCCTGTAGTCTCTTAGAATAGTATTATGAGGGCTGGGTGTATAGCTCAGTAATCGAGTGTGTGTCTAGCATGTAGGAGGCCTTGAGTCAGATTCTCAGCACTGGGAAAAAGAAATAACCAAACCAAAGAAAAACAAGAAAATGAAATCTTGTTATCTTTACTTTATGGAAAGTGCAAGGCAATTCTGCTGTCATATAAAATAGGTATTTTCATACTTCCTCCTTACATTTTTAATAAATTAATCAAGATGTTTAACATTTTTTATTTACAATGTACATGAGCTATTATTATATTGAATGAGATAAACAGCATTATTTACTCTATATACCTTCTTGAATTATTGTAAGAAAAAATATTGAAGGATAGCTAATACTATCTTGAGTCAGAACTTCTTGATTTAAGGTATTTCAAAAGGAAAGGGATTTTTTCTCAATTAAATTAGAAATAAATGAAAGGGAAAGAGATTGAAAGATACTGTTTTGTAAATTTCCTGTCTAAGTAAGTCCTCTGTAGGGCAAGAAACAAGACAATGAATAGACCTAGTACATCCACAAATTTTAGGTCTTTAAGCTATCATTTGGTCTTTCAATTCATATGGCCTAAATTTTATTTAAAATTTTAAAGAGGCAAAAATAACAGCTTTTAGCAATATCCCTTGGTTATTCTTACAATAGCTTTATCAATGTATTGCAGCTTTCCTTACTTCCCTTTCTCCAACTTAAGCTTTCTACTGGTAAACAGCTTCTCAATTTCAGAAAAAATTGTAATAGTATTTTTCTTGTGAGACACATTGGCTGCCCAGTTGCTCTTAGATTTGTTTTGTTATTCTGTTAGTAGAGTTGTGCCTTTCTCATTTTACATTGTATGTTTTGGGGTGGGTGGGTGTTTACATTTTTTCATTTAATTTTTTTTTGCTTAAAATTTGCTTTGGTGACTTTATGTGAATAATGAAGATGTTGCCGTGGCAGTTGTTTATCTTTTCACACAATGTTTTTTCCTGGGGAATGGGTTGCGGGTAGGCGATATTTCCAGTGTTGCTGAGAACTAGTTTTCCGGAACACATGATCTGCTTTCATTTTATCCTAGAATTTCACTTATCTTCTGCATTGTAGGTGACTCATTTGTCTAAAAAAAGTTGAGATCTTTATTACCTACTTTTTTCTATCTTTGAATAAATAGAATGCAGTATTTAGAATATTCTAGTATCTAAAATATCTAGAACTATGCAATTATTTTCCAGGTTTTTTTTTTTTTTAAGAATGGAAACTAACTCTCTGTGTTGTTCCCAAAATATTTAATCTTCATCCATTTCTCATTTTATCCATTTCATCATTTTTGGATTGTCATGGTCAAGAACATGGCAGCTCACAGGCCACTCTTCTCACATGCCTAGAGTTTTGTCCAAGGCAACACGTTAAGGGAAAAATAGATTATAAAATTGGCTGTGAATATCTCCCTGGTGAAATTCTTAAAACATCATTTTTGATTGAGCTAATTAATTGAGCAAGCTCTTTATTTATCAAAAGGCAGTATCACAAAGGTTTGGAAAGTGGGCTTTTGAAATCCATGATAGATTTTTCCATGGAAGTAATATCATACATATGGGTTATAGATAAGTGTAAAATGCAGCAGACTGGCCAATAAGATAAACTTTAATCAAACCCCAAGGGAATTATAATTAAATTGATATGAAGACCACTGGTGTCTCTGTTACATGCAGGAAAAAAACCTAGTGAAAGACTTGTAGAAGTTTTGAATGGATATCTTTAGGGTTTTATTTTGTTTTTTTCCTGTATTGAGAATTGAACTCAGGTCCTTGCACTTGTCATACAGGTTCTGTGCCACTAAGCTATATCCCCAGCCCAGCCTTTAGGGTTTTTTGAGATGGATGATACTGTATTTAGCGTATGTATTTTAGTTTTTCAACTATCAACTCAAACAACAACTTCTTTTGGATGTTTCTTTAGATTTCTGAATTGTTATTTGTATATTCTAAGAATGTAAGTCAGTGAGATCAACAATGGATCCTTTTCTCTTTGGAAAAGTCAACATATTGGCATTACTATAAATGTAGCAGTTACTACTTTTACCAGAGTCAGTGGAGATGTATTACTATAACATATATCTACTCAAAAGTTGTATAGTCTCTAGATAGTGTAAACTAGATGCACAAATAACACATTATCTGTAAGTGGTTTCCTTCTTATAATTAGTACTTAAACATGATACAAGCTGGCCTACATCATTCATATAATTTGTTCCATTCTTGAAATAGTGTCACTCACATAAATACTCTTAACCATTTTCCATTCAGAACATATTTTAGCCACATTAATAGCTCTTTAACTAGCTATAGGAGCTTATTAGTTGTTTTATATGTGTGTGGGGTGCGTGTATGTTGTTTGTATGCCATTGCATATCTTTGTAGAAAGAAGGGTGGAGGAAAGTGCAGAACACAAGAAGTTTTATGATGAGAATTTACTATGACAAAATTAAGATCATGTTTATGCAATCCTGTTTCCTCTTTCTTTTCTGTATTCATTGCCTCTAAAGACCTAAGATTGAGAACCATTGGCAGGAGAAAGCTAGGGAATGTGAGAAAAGATTGAGCAAATCAACTAAGGAATAAATATGTATGAGCAGTAGGGAATATAGAACCATTTAGAAACCTTCTCATTCTTTCAGTTCCTTACATTCCAGAAAATTCCCTGTCAAAGTTGAAATCCTGTGTCTTTATTATTAGCACAACTACCCTATAAGCAGCAAGAACTGTTACTCACTGCTGCATTCTTGCCCACGGTTGCTGACTGTTAGCAATAGAGGCAGACTCATAGGGATGCTCTAAAAGAAATTTGTATAGAGCTAGATTGTTGTTGGGATATCTGTAAGACTGCTATTTTAATTTATAAAATTCACTTTCAGTACAAAACTCAAATAAAAATACTGCTAACCAAAATATCAAAGGACAACAAGAATATTTTGAATTTTAGTCTGAAATGTCTTTTTTCTGAGTATGAGCCTTTAATTGTATTCTAAATGTATCATGCTTTTAAGGCTAATGCTTAAAATCAATAGGAAAAAACCTGCGTGTGAATAAACTACTACAAGCCCAACCTATCAGCCAGAAGGCTATTTTTACCACATCTTAAATTAGCCATTTTCTAGAGTTAAATGGTACTTTCAAGGTTGCATAATTTCATATGCACTGTATCATTAAAGCTGATTTAGTAATCAATTTGCTATCATTTCAACTCTTTCACTGCTATTTATCTAGGGGATAGTGATCCTAGAAGAATGTCAGCTTCCAAAAGATATTTTGAAAAAACAAATACAGTTTGCAGACCAATCACCTTCATTAAATACTACAGAGACTCTTCAGGTTCCCCAAAGGAGTCAAGAGCCTTTACCAGAACAAGATTTTGAAATGTCACCAAGCAGCCCTACACTACTTCTTCGAAACATAGAAAAGCAGGTAAAGTCAGATTAAAATATATGTGGTATGAAATAGCATTTTGTGACTTTAAATTATTCAAATAAGTATCATTATATGTTTGTTATGGGGTAAAGTTGGCTACTTGACATTGTGTACAATTAAAGTATTTGGTATATGGTTCACCTCTATTATAATATTGGTGCAATTAAAATTATTTAAATTAATATGTAAATTACTGTTACATAACCATTAGGAGAGCGTTCATTATACAAGAATTGGAAAATTCTTTTTGAAAAAAGGTACTCCTCATTGGACTTTTTTAGGAGGAAAGAATAGCAATATTTATTAACAGTGGTTAATAAATCCAAGTTTTACTAGTTGATCAAAATTCTCAGTAAAAAATAATAATGGAATATGAGTTTCTTCACATAAAATGATATGGAAAGTCAAAGAAGCCCCTTACAAATTACTTTAATTCCAGATCCTTGCCTGGTATGTAAATCTATCATGGATGACCCCAGAAATTGAATTATTCTGCAGTATCTATGTCTACCTATATCAGTCCTTTGCAACCAGGGAGAATCTGCCAGAGCATAACCAGTCTTGACCTCAGCTGCCTGATTACCTGTTATCCTGGGAAATAATACAGATTAAAACATGTCTCCATATAATTTTGCTGCATTTTTTAATGTACACTGTGAAATAATTTGGTGCTAGATTTGTACTGAACCAAAATACTGTATAAAATCTCATATTTTGTAGAATTACAATTGGCTACAGTTTTCTTTTCTTGTTCTACATAATCAAAACACTTTTGTGAGGGCCAGTGATTTAGCTCAGTGGTTCCACTGCCTGCCTCTCAAGGGCAAGGACCTGAGTTCAATCCCTGGTGCAAAAACAAAAATCAAAACAAAAAAAAAAACAGTTTTATGAGTATTTTGTACTTTAGAAAGTTATTTTTCAATTATCTGATATTCAGTTGGGATGTACTCTAACAAATAATCAGTGTTATAAATTAGTATTGATTATTTTCGTATTCTTGCTTCCCTGTTTACTTTCTTCTGCTCATTCCATAAAATCAATACCCTTTCAGTTTGGCATTAATTGCTTCATATCCTAGATGATTTATATGCTTTCTCAGTCAGACCTACTTTCTCCATTTGTTGGACATTACTTAATTACTGGAAAGTAAGCTGATTAAATTAATTTTTCTCCTTTTTCTCCCCACTGCCCATCCTCTTCCACCTCCTCATCTTCTTCTTCCTCCTTATTATCTTCCTCTTCTTCCACTGAGGATTGAACCAACCCTTCTAACTGAGCTGCATCTTCACCCCTTTATTTTTATTTTTTATTTTAAAACAAGGTGTTGCTAAGTCAAGGTGTTGCTAAATTGCCCAGGCAAGGATTAAACTCTTGATCCTTCTACCTCAGGCTTCCAGAATGTTGGAATTGCATATATGTGCCACTATACCCAGCTTAAATTAATAACTAATATAGTGCAATTCTAGAGGAGTTTTCATGTTTGAAAGACTTTTTTGTATTTTGTTTTTTCTCCTTGGTATCACCAGTATTGTTGGACATGAGATAACCTCAGAACTGGTTGATTTGTCCCATGAAAAATACAACTGCAGATACCTTTATTAAAAATATTAAGAATTTAAAGACTGTGACATGTCACAGGGCCAGGGATTTAGCTCAGTGGTTCCGCTGTCTGCCTCACAAGCACAAGGTTCTGAGTTCAATCTCCGGTACCAAAAAAATAAAAACTTAAAAAATTAAAAAAAAATAGACTGACAGCAGACCATTAAGTGGGCACAAGACCCTTCTAAGCACAGTGCAGTGCCTCTGTGAAAGTTGCATATCTATCTTAGTCCCTTTCCCATCACTGAGCACTACTAAACAACCACAATTTAAAGGAGGAGAGTTTTATTTTGGCTCATGTCTCATGGTCAGTGGGCTCCAAGGCACAAAGAGGAAGGCAGAGAGACATGACAGAGGAAAAAGGTACTCAAGCTATGGCATCCAGGAAGCAGAGCAGGTGATAACCCCAGTGACCTACTTCCAGCCAGGCCTTACCTCCTAACATCACAGTCAGGTACTGAACTTGTCAATGGATGAATCCACTGATGAGTATAATGCCACCACGGTTCAGTCATCTCCCAAACACAGGAGAATTGGGGAACATTTAGATCTAAACCATAACATTGTACCTCTGTTTCCCAGAGACTCTTGTCAAAAAGAGCTGAAGTCTTAACAGTTCCAGAATTGCTGAAAAGTCCAAGTTCCAACTCTCCTCTGAGACTCAAGGCATACCTTTAGCAGTGAGCCCCTGTAAAAATCAAAAAGAAAGTTTAACACTTCCAATATAAGATAGCACATTCCAACACACATTGGGACATTCCAACATACAATTCACAGTCCAAAAAGGAGAAGTGGGAGGATAGAAAGGAATCAATCCAGAGCAAGACCAAACCCAGCAGGGCAAACATTACATCCTATAGTTTCATGTCCAGTACCCAGGAAAGGTTGTCATGAGATGTGAACTCAAAGGATTTGGGCAGCCCCAATTCTATAGCCTTAGTAGTTGTGGCTCACACATGGCTTCCCTCTTGGGCTGGGTCCATTCACTGCCTGTGGTTTTCTTTAGGAGATGTTCCATGTTGCTTGTCTCTCCCAACTTCCTGAAGTTTTTAGTATATCTTTACTTTCATTCTCACAGCTTCACACACTGCCCTCACATGGGCTCCTGACAAAGACTGTGACCATGTCACACACTTTTGCCTGGACTCCAAGGCCTTGTTCTGAAATTTAGGTTGAAACCTCCATGGCCCCATAACTCTTGCATTCTGAATACCTGAAAAACCAGCATTATCGATAATGCAAGTGTCAACTGTCAGCATGGGTAGTAGCTAGACTCCCTTGGATCATGGCTGCTTCTGAGCAGCTTCTGAGTGCCCAGACAGTTGAACTTGGGATACATCTCATTCAGGTGACTCTGAATGAGCAGATGCCCCTGAGAACCTCTTCTCAAATGAAATATTTACAGTTTTGAACCCTTGTTCTTATGATGGGTGGTTTTGTTGACTTCTGAGATGCCCTCGGGATATCTTTCTTTTTGTCGCTATACAAAACACTTCTCTCAGTACTAATCTTTTCAGAAATCATGCTCTCCTTTGCACCAAATTTGCAGGCTCTTCCCTTCTAGCAAAACTGAAAAATTTTTGACTCATTTAGTTCTGCTTTTTTCGTGGTTCTTACTGTATTTCTGGCTAAACCAGGCAGCAGTAACCCTGTCACAGCTTGGAAATTTCTTACACTGTATTATTCTGCTTCCTTTTTTTGGTACCAGGGATTGAACTCGGGACCTTGAGCTTGTGAGGCAAGCAGTGGAACAACTGAACTAAATCCCCGGCCTGCCTCCCTTTTTTTTTCAGTTCCCCACAGTCTCAAGTCATAAGCAAAATGCAGACAAGTTTTCTGGCAGGGTGCAACACACATAATCTCTAGTACAGTTGCCAATGGAGTCCTTGCTCTAATTGAAGACTCCTGGGCCCAACTGTCCACGTTCCCATCAATATTCTAGTCTTTTGATCTCTATCCAGTTTCACATATCAAACACTGTTTACAACATCACATGGGCTTCTGTAGCCCACTCTCCAAACACTTCTCAACACCTCCTGAAAACCAAAGGCTTCTGAACTACATAGTCATGTATAGTTACAGCAACACCCTCATTCATAGTACCAATTTTCTGTATCAGTCATCATTCCCAGTACTGGGACAAAGGAAACTACTTCATACCAACAGCGCTTAGGTTTGTTTTGGTTCAGTCCATTGTCAGTTATCTTCAAGGCAGAAATGACATGGCAGAGGGGAATGGTGGGGGAAAGTTTCTCACGTGATGGCAAACAGGAAACAAGGGAAGAGCTGTGGATGAGAATACCCCAATGACTTTCCTTCTCTGATCAAGAACTACCTCTGAAACTTAGACTCTTGGGAGAAGTTTTAGATCTAACCATAACAGTAAGGAGATAGGAGTTGTGAGACCAAAACTAACAGCTTAACATAAGGAGAGTAGTGAAAAAATGTTTATGTAGTTATTCTTTTTTTTTGAGACACAGCGATCTCACTGTGCGGTTTAGGTTGGCCTTGAACTCACTATGTATCCCAGGCTGGCCTCAAACTCATGGTGATTCTCCTGCCTTAGCCTCCCAAGTACTGGGATTACAGGTGTGTGTCACCATGCCCAGCTTAGAGGAAAAATATTTTTTAAAAATCAGCAATAATCACTTGTAGAGGTCATTAATAAATTGCCTATGAACAGGTTGTTCCTTAAGAGGTTATTATAATGCTTTATGGGTCAATTAAAAAAATTAAGTTGTTTCCAAATACTTTTTTAGGGAAAACAGCCTAGGAGTGACTTAAGTGTTGGGGATGGCAAGCCCAATATTATGTATATTTTTATTAAGATAATTCATTGGTGTACAACTCTTTTTTGATAATCTTTGACTTGATTAAGTAGTTAGAAATGCAGTTAAAACATAAAGGTACTGGTGAGTTGTACACTGAATTTATTTTTAAAATATCTATTGATTCATAAGATTACTACTTGTATTACTAGTAATATATATAATATATACAAACCAATATATATAACATATATATATATATATACACACACACACATATATATATGTGTGTATATATATATATTTTTTTTTTTCCACTACCAGGGATTGAACTCAGGACCTTGTACTTACAAGGCAGGCAAGGTGCCACTGAGCTAAATCCCTGGCCCTACTATTACATTTTCTTTATATATTAAAAAGATGCCTTGTTTTAGTACTTCAGATGATTTAAAATAAATTTTACTATTGGTGTATTCACATTAAAAGTCTTGCTATAATATATAGTACTTTTTAAATTGATTAGTTTTTGTTTTAAGAGTTCAAATTATTTCTCCCCTAATTTACTTTTCTTACTATAATTTTTACGGTGAATTTCCTACCTCATATGGGGTTTAAAGTATTTGAGATTGGGCCAAAGTTGCTCATTGTTAAGATAAAAGTAATTGTTTAAATGTTGTCCTTCTGAGCCAGTTATCACATACTTGACATTATGTCCAATGGCTTAATAGGTTTTTGGTAATGTATTTGAAGGTAGAATATTGAAAGTAATGTTTTTGTGTTGAAGATTGGAAAATATGAGATACTTCATTAATTTAATTGCATGAATAAACTAATGAATATTTGATAAATCGGTAAAGAAATCTATTGGTATTGATGAATTTGAAAATGAACTTTAATCAGAAAATTATCTGTGTAATAATTTTCAAAATGAACTCATTAATTGCATGCTCTCCACAAGAGAATAAATGATGAAACACTGCAGGATCTTTTTCATGAAAGAAAATTTTTAAGGACTCAAGTATTAGGTTAGATTATATTCTTTATCTCATTGTTTTAGTAACATATCTTATTAGTTTCATGTAAATGACTTTAAAATAGTTACTTAGCATTATATAAATGTAATATTTTGCAAGTATGAAAATGGTAAAACAGTCCTGCATAGCATATAATTTGTAAAATAAACTCACTACATTGAGAAAAACAGGTTTTAGATAATTTCTGTGCATAATTTTATTAAAATGCATGTATACATATTGTGCTCACATATACTCACAGCAAACTTAGAGTGATGTATAACAAGAAATTAACAGTAGTTAACTTTGTAATATGATTATAAGTGACACTTCTTTTCTACTATTGAGGATTGACCTCAGGGCTTTCACACTGAGATACTCCCCAGCTCTGAGGTCCTCCCCAAACCCATTTTAATTTTGTGACAGGGTCTTGCTAAGTCATTAAGTTACCCAGGCTGGGCTCAAATTTGTGATCTTCTTGCCTCAGGCTTCCAGAGTTTTGGCTTCTCTTCTCTTCTCTTCTCTTTTCTTTTTTTTTTTTTTTTTTTTTTTTCATTTTTTTTTGTACCAGAGGTTGAACTCAGGACACTGCTCTTACAAGGCAGGTGGTGCCGCCCCTCAGCTAAATCCCTGGCCCACTCTTTTCATATTTAAAATGTCTCTATATTTTCTAATTTTTCTACCATGAACATGGGTTACAAGTGTAAAGAAAATATTCTTTTGTAGAAATACACAATTTCTATTTATGTGAACTTTAATGTGATTGTTTTGAGAATAATTTAATAATTTTTACATATAGTTAAGTTTGGAATAAAGGTCAAAGAATGTCTTGGGGGCTTTCTTCCTAAAATAAAACAAAAAAAGCAAATTTTCTTTGAAGTGGGAGAATTATTGAGAAATGGTGTGGTAAACGGGCCTGAATTTGAATCTTGGCTCTATTGCTTCCCAACTTTGTGTCCCTTGTTCATCTACTTAATTTTTCTTTCTTTTCTATAATTTCCTCATTTGTACTGATATCATTAAGCACTTATTAAAAATAGCTATGTTGGCCGGGGATTTAGCTCAGTGGTTCTGCTCATAAGTGCAAGGTACCAAGTTTGATCCCTGGTATAAAAAAAATGATTTTTTATTATTAAGTTTGTCATTTCAAAGGAAATATATAGATGTTTATAGGTGGTTTCATATGTTCTAGAGGATGGAATTGATAAATAAAGGAATTATTAGGAAAGGATATAGAAAAGTTTAGGCACTTTGAAATATAGGTTTGTTGGTAATAAATGGAAAAATTAGTGTGATATAAATCATTGTAGATTAAAATATTTATGAAAATGTACTCATTTACATATATTGTGAGACATTAAGCATTTAGTAGCCATTATAGGTCTGAGAGACAACTCACATTTCTTGCTTAGCAGTGGTGTAATGTTGATTGTTTTCTTGCAGAGTGCACAGTTGACTGAGATCATCAACAGTTTGATTGCACCTCTCAACTTATCTCCAACTTCATCACCCCTCTCCTCCAAATCCTGCAGCCATAAATGTTTCACTAATAGCATTTCCAGAAGGTAGGGTATCAGTGAGATAGTTTGGCTTCTAAATTTAGCTGTGCTTATTTTATTTTGTTGATCTGTAAGTATTATAGCTATTTTTCTCTTCTGTGTTAAGAACTTCTAGACTACAATCAGTAGACCATGGATATAGTTTAAAAAATTAATATAGTTAAGTTAATGATAAAGGTGAGAATGAGGGAGAAATTTTTCTTGGAAATTTTGTGATGTTTCTGAAACATCATACTAGGGATTACATTTGTTACAGAAGTACTGCCTTATTTATAATACCTTCCATTTTGTTTCTTTTGTATTCATGCTGTCCTTGCAGTACATTTTAAGAAAAACAAAACAAAATCGTGGGACATAATTCAGGCACAGAAGATTGGCATATATTACCAATAAAATTCTAATTTTTAGTTATTTCATCCCAACTTTAATAGATTAAATTTTTTTCTGAATGTAATTGATCAAATAGTTTCTGCAATCATTAGCAATTTATCAAAAATACATATTGTATGAATTCTAATCCTTATCGAGAACATTTATTTAATTTCACTTTGTTTATTTTTCTGTTTGAATTTTTCCTTTTCAAAATGCAACTTGAGGGTATACCAGTAGGAAACCAATCGTGTGTCATTTTCTAAGTTTTTTCCAAATAAATTTATAAGTTTATTAGCTCCTTTGATTTAATTTACCATAGAGGTCTAAGGGTAATTTTGTATTAGAAGATATTTATATGGATAAGACTTTTAACATAAAATAACAGGAAAATTTATGCCATAATGGAAGACTATGTATTTATCACACTCTTAATAATAGTAGTAGATAAGTTTTAAAATTAAAAAATACCACTGCTTGCCTCCCTGCCTTCAAGTGCAAGGTCATAAATTTGATCCCCACTACCCTTTCCCCAAAAAAAGCTAGTGCTTGATTCTTATTTCTAATTAGTATTTTGAAAGCCTAATTTTTAATACTTATATAATTTTATTTGTGATGGGTTATGTATCCATTTTTCTACTGTGAGCGTAGTTCTTGATTTTGCTTCATTTTTTTACTTTATGTTCATTCATTACATCACTGATGATTCACTTTGGAAGTAAAGACTCTCACATGATATACAGGGAGACTATGATATCCTCATTTATAAAAATCCTAATTAGGAGAGTAAGTGAAGTATAAGCTGAGCCATAAGAAGAATGTATTAGCACTGTGACTGGAAGATAACCACATTATATAATGTTTGCCTGATCAAGCATGACACTATTGCATGTGTACTTCCATGAATACATGTGCATTTTCAATTTAAGTGTACAGTTGGTCTTTTATATCTATGTATTCCACATTCCTGGATGCAACAAAATCTTGTCAATATTGTTTTAAAATTGCATCTATACTGAACATGTACAGACTTATTTTCTTCTAGTCATTATTCCCTAAATACAGCATAACTATTTTCATTTCATTTGCATTGATTAAATATTATGAGTAATTTAGAGATCAGTTAAAGCATATGGGAGAGGAATCAAGATGGTAGAGGGAACACTGGCTGCAGATCAGTTTCTCCAGGACTTGGAATTAAGAAATCTAGAAAACAACTGCTTAATATGGAAAAAGAGAAGAAGAGCTACAAAAATCAAGAAGGAGACGATAGGAAAGCTGAAAATCATGGAGAAACAGAAGACAATTCATAGAAAAGAATGAAGCAGTGTGGAATGTTTACCCAAGTTCCCTGGAGAGTGGAGGGAAATCTAACTGTGGAAGCTCGTGATAAGCCTGGAGAGGGCCAGTGGGCTCAGTGATAAAGAGTTGGCAGTGCTACCTCAGGAGCAACTCACAGTTTTTGTAACCTATAAATTCAGGGTTTTTTCTCTGAATATGACTCCCTTTGTATGACAGCATATCTTTGGAGAGGAAACCCACAAGAGCACATACCATATTTAAAAGTAGTATAAGCAAGGGCCAAGGATTTAGCTCTGGTTCTGCCACCTGTCTTGCAAGTGCAAGGACCCGAGTTTGATCCCTGGTGCCAAAAACGAACAAACAAACAGAAAAAACAAAAACAAAAAGAGTAGTATAAGCAGAAGCCATTTTGACAAAGAGTTTATTGTTTAACACTGAGCTGCTCCAGGTATCAGAAGTCACAGAATAATCACATTTCAGGGTCTCTTGAGTGACTATACCACAGTGAATGGGTGAGAGATGACCACAAGAGACAGTCACGAAGAGGTGGAAGGCTAGCCACAGTTCCCCCGAGAAATTTAAGTAGCTAGGAGCTTAGTCTGTGGAAGACACTGTGTTTGGCTGTACCTCTGTCTCTGGTGAGAAGTCAGGCCTGTTGCATGAGCATTTCTGAGGGGGCTGACTCTGTAAGTTCTGCGACTGAGCCTAGCAGATCACTTGACTCCTTGCTGCCCTCTTCCAGCACAGAAGTCAGTGATCTGTTTGCTTTCTCCACCCACCAACATGATTAGGATTCCACTTGGATGTTTGGCACATTCCTGGGTGTATGGACAGGGTCTTCTGGAGCAAGTGGTGCAACCTGCCCTCTTCCAGCACAGAAGTCAGTGATCTGTTTGCTTTCTCCACCCGCCAACATGATTAGGATTATACTTCCACTTGGATGTTTGGCACATTCCTGGGTGTATGGACAGGGTCTTCTGGAGCAAGTGGTGCACCTCATGAGCTTGCAGGCCATAAAGCTGATTGGAGATAGGATAGAGATGGCTGAATGAATTAAGCGAGACAATGCAGAATATGAAAGAAGAATTAAACAAATATAGATTCTGGAGAAGAACCAAACAGAAATTCTAGAAATGAAAAGCTCAGTAAGTTAAATAATAAATTCAGTTAAGAGCCTCACCAGTAGGACCAAGCAGAAAACAGAATTTCAAGGCTTGAAGATGAGGTTGAAGAATTATTACATTCAGACACTAATAAAGACAATTTAAGAAAATATAAAATATAAAGAAATTATGGATCATACAACCAAGAACTCTGAGACATGGATATAAATAAGTCTTACCTTATGAAATTTTGATGTAGAAGAGGGTGCCAAGATTAAGACAAATGGGACAGAATATCTGTCTTATGAAGTAATAACAGAAAACTTCTAGAATCTTTGGAAAGATATAGACATGTAAGTAAAGGAGGCATTTAGATCCCAAGTAGGCATGACCAGAAAATGCCTCAAAATGTCAATGATACAGAACAAGGAAAGAATAATGAAAGCTATACGAAAGAAACACCAAGTCATTTGTACACATGAGCTCATCAGAATAATGGCAGACTTCTCAGCAGAAACCCCAAAGCCAAGGAAAGCACAGAATGACGTATTGCAATCCCTGAAAGAAAATAACCACCAATCTAGATTACTATGTCTAAACAATGGTATCCTTCAAAACTGAAGAAGAAATAAAGATCTTCCAAGATAACATAAATAAGAAATTTGTAGCCACTAAGCCAACATTGTAGAAAATATTTAAAGCAATCCTACATAAAGAAGAGGAAGAGTAGATATTCCACCAAAAATGAATCAAACATTAGAAAAGCAAGAACATGATAGGAATTAGCACGTACTTTCCTCTAATAACTCTGAATGTAAATATTCATAACCTCCAATTAAAAGACAAAGACTGGCATATTGGATTAAAAAACAAGACCCAACATTTTTGCTGCCTTTAAGAAACACACCTCACTAGCAAGGATTTACCCAGCCTGTAAGTGAAAGGATGGAAAACAATATTCCATACAAATAGAACCCAGAAGTAAGCCAGTATAACTGTACTTACATCTGACCAAGAAGACTTCAGGACAAAATTAGAGGAGATAAAAGAAGGTCACTACACATGCTAAAAGGAATAATCCTTCAATAGGTATAACAATTATTAAGATATATGCACTGAACATGGTGTACCCAATTCAATGAAACAAATATTTCTTGACACAAAGGGACACATAGGTACCAATACAGTAAGAGTGGGGTGACTTTAATACTCCAGTCTCATTAGTACATAGATCATCCAGACTGAAAATCAACAAAGAAACTTTTGAGTTAAACAGTGTCATAGATGAAACGGAGTTAGCAGATGTTTACACAGTATTTCATCCAATGAATATCGAATACACATTTTTCTCAATGGCTTATGAAATGCTCTTCAAAATAGATCATGTTTTAGTCCATGATGCAATCCTTAATAAATACAAAAAACTGAAATCCTTTCTTGCATCTTATCAGATCATAATGGAATAAAACTAGCAAACAACAGGAGAATCCACAGAAACTATACAAACACATGGAAATTGAACAATTCAGTTTTGAATAATCAGTGGATCACTGAAAAAATCAGAAGAAATTTGAAAATTCCTAGAATCAAATGAAAATGGAAGCACAATATACCAAAAACTCTGGCACATTAGAAAGACAGTTTGAAGAGGAAATTTTATGTCAAAAAATCAAAGATATTTCAAATAAATAAACCACTGATGCATCTCAAGGTCTTAGAAAAATGAGAACAAACCAAAACTGAACCCAACAGGAGCAAAGAAATAATAAATATTAGAGTTGAAATTAATTAGAGAATACTAAAAAAAAAAAAACCACTAAAATTGGTCAATGAAATGGAGTTGGTTCTTATGAGATAAACATGATTGATAAACCTCTAGCCAAACTAACCAAAAGGAAAAGAGAGAAGACTCAAATCAATACAATTAGAGATGAAAATGGGGGTGTGGTTACTACTTTGAAAACCTATAGGCTAATAAATTGGAGAATCTGGAAGAAATGGATAAATTTCTAGACACATATGACCTACCAAAAATGAACCAAGATTACACCAATGACAAGCAATGAGACTGAAGCAGTAATAAAAACACTGCTAACAAGGAAAAGCCCAGGACCAAATGGGTTCACTGTTGAATTTTACCAAACTTTTAAAGGACTAGCACCGATGCCCCTCTATTCTATGAAATGAAACTATTCTATGAAATGGAAAGATAAGGAAGGCTGCCAGACTCAT